TATTTGTTGGCCGGGTTTGTTGATAGTTTCATCAATTTTATCAACCATATTGCCTGACTGTCAGGTCTTATGATTGATGACGGTGTTCAAAAGTTGTTATGAATCAGCTCATATAATTTTGATGAATCGTTAGTGCATCTAAAACAGCCCCTGCTGTTTCTGTACGATTTTTGTGCCGATGGTGTTATGAAGTAAGACGGTGAAGTCTCCAGAGTCAAATCACCGTCTGCTGAAGTCGAGTTCAATTACTTATGACAAATGTCTTCTATGCTATAGGAGTGGACAAAGATAAATTCAGTCACAGATAAGCTATATCCTTAATTTGTAACTATGGGGTGAGATTTGTTATCTGATCATATAAGGTGGTTCCTTCAAGGTTTGTTCTAATGAGGAGAAAATATATTATAGCCAGCAAAACTGTCAGTTTGAGTGTACAAAATAAGAAAGGCATTTTACATGATCTGCGTCGGGATACTCCCACTGTCCATGATAGAGTCTGCATTAAGCGAACAGGCCAACATCAAACTCCTTTGGCTGTAAATAACCCACAGAAATACATGTATGTAGTGCTACTCCATATTATCGTGTTCGAATACAAGGTTGCTTGTAGAGGAGGCCACGGTGGGTAACAACTACTGGAAATTTTCGAAGGTCCGACCTTGATTCCAAATGGACTGCCTCAAAAGTTTTATTATGAGCTCAAGCACAAAGGCAAGTTGGAGTTGACCATTCCACTTATGGAATGTCTTGATCATGAAAAAACGTGAAAACACTGGGATTATCAACTCGGAAAACCTTGTATAGGTAGGCTACCTGTCCATTCACATAGGGCTTATACGGAGAAACAGGAAGGAGAAGATCAAACCTTTCAAATCGAAAGCATAAACTGCTTATACATGAACGCCTTGAGTTTACCAAATAAAATGGATGAACTATGTGATCTCAGCAATGCTAATTATGCCCATCTGACAGGAATGTATTAAACGTGCATACGTAGTGGCATTGGACCATAACCACACAATCCTCAAAGCCGAATACAAGATTACTCGGAAAATAGATATTCAATATTTAACGCGAAGAAATACCTAACGATGGAGAAGGCGCGAACAATGAATTGAATGAATTGGAGTTGATCGAATGACATGGCTCGGCCATGCAGGCGTGGTCCCTGCTGAATGTTATCTTCTATCTTCTATTCATATCAAATATATTGTTCTTTCTCTAGCCTAACCTTGTTCTACATCATGTATTGATAATCGATACGATACAGTGAGTTGGTGTAGTCGATGGTGTGACTTCCACGTAAGATCTTATAGATTAGGCAGTTATATCATGACAAATCTACAAATTTAGGATTAGGTCTATTATTAGAGCAGTACTAATATCATAGTAGACCATAATTCTACACATATTTCAGTTTACGAACCAGGAGCTAGCAATACCTGGAATGTCTTTGTTTCGCAACAACAGAAAAACAGGAATTGAGGGTGGAGTAGCCTTATTATTACGATCCTGCCTGGAGGTACACCAAGTTCACAGCCAAGAGTTTATCAATCTTGATGAATCCGTATGGTGCTCAGTAAGATTGTCTACCACTTCGAGGTGCCTAGTCGGGGTCATCTACAGAAAGCCCACTGCTGAAATCGAGTACGACAATCGTATGCTGGCAGGATTATTCCACTCTACGCGTCTCGGATTCACTCATATCCTGATTCTATGGGACCTCAATCTTCTTGAAGTCACTTTCGCTGAACATACGTATATTGGAGGTGAAAATTCAGTTGAAGCTCGGTTCTTAAACCTCATGGAGAATCTGGGATTATTCGAAAATATGAAGTCGGCAACTCGACAGTCAGATGCCGTCGCGCTTAGAATGGGTATTTACGAACGAAGAATTCCTGGCTGGCAACCTCTCAATTCTGGCTACCATGGGGAGAAGCAATCACGCCGTCATAGCCTTCAGTTTCATCAGCAAAGTTGAGCTAAGACATCCCACTAAACGGTTCGATGTGTCAGCTTTACAGGACTATCTACAACAGATGGGTTGGAATGTTCACTCTCAACCTGATGTGGATGCTCATTGGTATTTCTTACTGCACACACCCCTATGTGCTACAAAGCAGTCAGCTCCTCAAACGGTCCCCAAAATCTACAAGCAACCTACAATCATCAGTAACCACACTCTTTGTCTCTTAAAACGTAAAAGGCACTGTTGAACGGAATACAAACGAACTGACAACAACGGCGCGTACAGGCAATACAAACATATAAGAAACATATGCACAAATGCTATAAGAAAAGAAGGGCTCCAGTACCAGACAAGGCTTATCGACAAATTTGCCTCCAATCCGAAAAGCTTATTTCGTTATGCAGCCTCTCTTCGACAAGCCAAAACTGGAGATTCCCAACTGTTAAGTCCTGATGACCCAACCAATAACGACGGTGACGTCGCTAACCTTTTGGCTGAACAATACTCTCGTAAATCTCAACCGACTATTGAGGAAAGCTTCATCTGCAACTGCACAGGTCTTTCCGAAGTGAACCTGAGCTCTGACTTGGTGTACCGGACACTGCAGCACCTAAGGAAAGACACTTCTCCTGACTCAGATATGGTCCATTCTGCCATACTGAGGGAAGCAGCTTCAATCTTGGCAACACCGCTAAGCCGAAGCAAGCTACCGGAAGTTTGAAAACTGGCTCATACCACGCCAATTTTCAAAGGAGATCGAAGCAGCGAACGGACTGGTGGCCTTTCTCTTCATGCCTTCAAAAGTTATGAAGTCCCTGATCTGCGACGGTATACACGACCACTTGTTATCCTTAGAATTCTCTTGAAGCCACCAGCATGGTTTCAGGAAAGATCATTCTTGTACAACAAACATACTGACTGCGGTGGACAGATGGACAACCATCCCTGATCACAAGGGAAAGGTAGATATCATCTACCTAGATTTCTCAAAAGCATTTGATAAGGTCATTCCGCTATACTGAGGGAAGCAGCCTCAATCCTGGCAACGCCGCTTAGCGTGATGTTCTCACACTCGCTAAGTCGAGGAAAACTACCGGAAAATTGGAAGCTGGCTCACATCACACCAATTTTCAAACGAGGTCGACGCAGCGAACCTTCAAGTTACTGACCGCTGGCTCTTCTCTCAATACCTTCGAAAATCATGTAGTCCCTGATATGCGATGGTATAAATGACTATTTACTGTCCTTAAATTTCTTCTCACCCCAACAGCATGGTTTCAGGAAAGATCATTCTTGTATAACAAACTTACTGACAGAGGTGGACAGATGGACAACCATCCCTGATCACAAGGGAAAGGTTGATATCATCTACCTAGATTTCTCAAAAGCTTTTGATAAGGTTAACAATACATGTCTTATCAATAAGCTCGAGCGACTGGGTGTCGGATCGCCTCTAATTGACTGACTCACTTCATATCGAAAAATCAACATTTTAAGGTCAGGCTTAGTTTCGCTATCTCTTAGACTATGGAATGACCTAGTGAGGTCCCCCAGGGCACAGTAACAGGACCTCTTCTCTTCTTGATTTATATAAATGATCTTCCACAACAAGTATCGTCTGACTTATTACTTTTTGCCGACGACGTGAAATTTTGGGGAGAGATACGCAACCGAGAGGATATACTGGCACTTCAGGAGGATCTGACTCGACTTCAAAGTTGGACAGACGATAACGGACTTACCTTCAACACTTCAAAGTGTAAAGTAGTCCATCTGAGACATGTCGCAGACTACAGTCATAACTTAAGAAACTCCTCTCTGGTAGTATCCCAAGTTGAAAAAGATTTAGGAGTGCTGGTACCCTAATATTTGGAGTCTAACGCTGTGACGAAAATGCCTTTTGAGCAAACCTTGCACTGGTAACATTGAAGCGCATTTTCGGCCAGTTTGACGGAAGAACTTTCCACATAATCTTCAACAGTTTTATTCGTCCTCATTTAGAGTACGGAAACAAAGTATTTTTCCCTCACTCTGAAAGGATAAAGACACTGCGGAGCGTATCCAACGGCGAGCCAGTTCGGGAACTAAAATTCAAGCCTTATGAAGAGCGCCTCCAATCACTTAATCTTTATCCATTAGAGTATAGACGTCTTAGGAGTGACTTTCTGATGGCTTACAGTATCCTTAACACTTCTGAACATCCTCTCAAACACCTACTTAAGCTTAGTCCCAACACTAACCTAAGAGGTAACACCCGAAAACTGGAGACACGACATAGCAGAACGGACTGTAGGCACAAGTTCCACTCCCTAATAGTTGTCAAATGCTGGAATCCGCTGCCGGCCGAGCTAGTCCAAGCTGCTTCCCAGGAGTCCTTTTACAGGAAAATTTAACTTCTCTTAAGGACTAAGGATAATATCTTACCATGATTTACCAATTTCTTTTTTCTTCTATTATTGTTAATATACCTAGTTTTCTGCCTGGAGGTACCGGTGATCCCCTGCTACTAGACACGGAAGCCTGTTAAACGAAAGCTTCTTCTATTCCGTCCACAACCATTTGAGCTAAATTGTTTCCCATTCGGTTTTTGGAAGGGAGATATCAAGAATCACAACTCTTCGTGACTAAAAACGTACTTCAAGCAGTAAACAGTTCACTAATACCACGTATAATTATTGATTTCAAAACCCAGTTCTCAGCAGATTTATAGTGACGAAAAAGTATCGAAGAAATGTTTTTTCTGATAAACTAATGATCCATGGCTTTTTCAAACTTTCTGTTGCCAATCCGTAGAGTTTATCACTTGTATATTAGAACAAGTGACCAAATGTACGGACGGACCTTGTTTAGGTGGCAAACTTTGTCCAGTAATGTGTACATGCGATTATTATAGGTTTGTTACTAAACAAAGTAATAGACATATTTTAAGATGAATTCAATATATAAAAAGGAAAAAAAGTTGCGTTGAATTCGTCAGTATTCACGGGTCAATATCTCATATCATTCGATAGTTTTGTTTGGAAGCGCATTCACTTTAAGGCCGCTCTGTGTGGATGAAACATGCTTCAGGCTACAAATGTACGTTTCTCGCTTCTCTCATATGTACACTAGGTTCATTCTCTTGCTTTGTCCAAAATAATTAAACCGGACAAAAAGCCGGTCACTCCATTAGAAGAAGAAATTGCTCAAGTATGTTCATGCGGGTACCTGATCTTCTTTTAGGCCATCATAGACTTACAGATACACGATGACTGGTCTGATACAATGAAACTTTTGTACTTTTGTGAAGCAAAAGTTTGTTTCTTTATTTCTTATTTATACGTACTAGGAAATGACTATAGGTAAAGAAAAGGCAGTCGTTATATATGTACCTGTCCCACAACTACGGACATACCAGCTTATACATAACAGACTCGTAGGCGAACTCGAGAAAAAGCTCCGTGGTCCTCATGTTGTACTCCTGGCTTTCCGAAGAATCATTGCAAAGCCTAAAAGAAATTGCAAATTTAATCCGAAGCAAAAGCGTCCTAGAAGTAGGACCCTAACAGCTGTGCACGAAGCTATATTGAAAGATCTTGTCTACCCAGCTGAAATAGTAGGAAAACGCACTCAATTCAAATGCGATGGAAGTACAGTAATCAAATGCCATTTGGATGTTGCGCAGAGAAACTACATAGAGCATAAGGTATGTTTGTGTATTGTCTAAACTTCGTTCAGCTCAAAACTATCACTGGATTATACAAAAAGTTGACTGGTAAAGATGTCATTATCGAGTTTCCAGATTGGGTATTGTGAAAATATGTAATATATGTTTGAATTGGATTGGTTTGTTTCCAGTTTTTTCACGGTCCTGGCTTATCTGTAGGGTAGTACTAATAATCGGAAGCTATTAATCTAAGTAATATTTTGAGATTCTGATGTGGTCTATGCTTATTAACCAGTGAAATCATGGGGGCACTGATCAACTATTTGTCTAGTTTGCACCGCTTCCTAATCTTACAAATATTGAATAGTTTCCACAAGCTCACACTACTGTGGTATATTTTCACGTAGCCTATAAGTTCCTCACCGACTCCTACTAACGTCCAAACTTGAGTCCTGTCTTCCCAACGGGCTAGTTTGGGTCGTAGATGATTTTTTTCGAGCTGAATGCTATCCTGTTTGACCTTATAATCTGACAACTGTCAAATAAATCCGACTGTAACTGCTTATAACACAGGGGTGTGAGCTGCTTGTTCCAATTAAAATCACTGTTGTCAGTTAGTAGAAGGCTCTATGTTAGCCATATCCATACGAGCCCGGCCAACTTATCGAGATAATGGTAGATGGGTTTTTGCAAACCAGAGTCAGTTATTGACCCCGGATGATTGCGCAATAAGTGCTGTGTCCCAATAATAACATGTGACTAATATTTCAGTAGGGTCTAAGTATTTCGGAATGCCGCATTCCAGTTTGTTCTAGAAATTTTTCGCCGTTCGTGCCGTATTCATGAAATTTGTTATTAAGTTAACATCTTCCATTGCCTGCAGTTATTTGTCGTCTGGAGTGCTATTAACTCATTGCTTCATATAATTTTAATTGAATTGGTAGTGTTGACCTTTTTTTAATGCTGGCAAGAAAACTGGTAGCAAATGTTAGTGAAATAGCTCAACATCTTTTAAATAGAATAAGTAAATATAAGCAAATGTAATGTTCATTGTGTAAAAATTGTTTTGCGTTAACTTAGCCCCATTAAAGTGTATGTACTTGTATGAAAACTTGGAGCTATTGTTTTTTTTTATCAAACCGACAACCACGAAATTCTTGTCTGCTACCCATTCATGTCCACTCCGCCTAGTGAGGGAGCGTGTGTTGAAATTTGTAGAAATTCAGTAATGCGATAAGCTTCGATTATTCTAGACGATATTTTATCTTTGTGTTGGCCTGTTTTTCTCAAACTAGTGTCCTGTACGTAAAGTGTTCTACGAGTGTCGTCCCAGCGGACTAAACATCATGCTTTACTGGACGTGGCTCTAAGTAGAAGCAGGCGGCAGTCCCGCTGTAGCTTTCATTGACATCATAAATGTAAAGGACTTCTCTAACTGGGAGGATTCTTTCTATTTTCATTCTTCTGACCGAACTGCTTCTCCTAATGATCTTTTTACTGATCCACCTATTCCAATTTGTCATACTTCTCAGTACCAACCTCTGATTTTGTTGCGTATATATTTCGTTGATGCTTTGTGACAAGATTTGTGTTAAAAGATGACAGATTATTTACTTGATTATTAAAAGTAAGGAACAAAAATGAGAAAACAACACAACATAATTGTTAAGATTGGTTGGTTTTTGTCTGTTAATAACAAAATAATATAAGGGGATGAGGTTGTCGACCATAAAGTCATAATCAATAAAAATAAATGAGTAATAACCAAAGTACAGAGTTAATTGAAATTTAAGTTGACATCGTGAAAGAGTGGTGTTAGGATTTACTATTTTAAAAACAGTAACAGTTTTGGACTTCTGTGTTCAAACAGCTAAAATGGAGGGCATGATATTGAATTGTACAATTAATAGCCATCTGTTAGGAAAGAGCATGTCCTCATGGATCTTGGGTTCAAGGCACAGGATATTTCTGGTAGACTTGACAAAATGATTCAAGTAGAACTAGAAATGAGGTTCTCCACAGGTCAGTTGTTTTTAGCGTGTAACTGGATGTTTAAAGCAGATTAGTACCCTTCGGAGGTCACCAAAGTCGTTTACGACTTGCCGTATAATAAGTACGTAAGAAAGACCAAAAGATGGGCATCTACAAGGTTTTCTAAACATGCTCCTCAAGAGCTGTAGTTGGAAGAAATAAGAGTATTCTCAAGTACAGTCATCAAACGTCTAGTAGATAATAGGTATCGCAAAGATGGGAAATAACTAACAAGCAGCGGAAACCATTTGTTTTTCTGAGGCAAGTGACCTATGTATACAGTGAGAAATCGTAGTCAACCCTTGTTTGCCAATTACATAATCTCCGTTGTGTTTCATAATTTAAAATATAAAAATCCTGTAGTTTATATCACCTAGGTGGCTTGACTATCACTGATTTGTCTACAATCCCTGTTCGTTGACTGCTATCATTTATAACTTCATTCCCTTCCTTTCATTACTTTGTTTTCAACATAAAAATATCAATCGGTCATAATTATTATGTTAAACGGGTCGTATTCTCATCTTGTTTCTTATGTCATTTAGAACTAAATATCATTAATTGTGGTGTTTTAAACTCTTTATGATGATGTGAGTAAGGCCGTTTTCAGCTAATGGGGGCCCCTAAAATGTATAGAACTCATGTTATTCTGTGAAACTTGTTCTCGCTTTATTTAAGTTGCTATTATATGTTAAGTCTATTATGACTTTATGTCCGGCTTTTTATCACGTGATTTGTCCACCAATCAAAATCCGAATTATACAATCTTAGCACTACCAAACCAATGACGTTCGACCGGTATGAGCAGCCTAGCGTCCTTATTGGTCCTATGTCCGCCTAGCCCGTCCACTTGAGTCCAGAACACCAACACCAGTTTCCACTATGTGAATCGAATAATTTATTTCAGACACACTGGGTTTATATATCAATCAAACGGACCGCAACGCACCATAAAATAGGAAATAACATTTGTACACAATAAAGCCAAAAGATGGCTGTCAATGTGGGAGGCAGTAGTCAATAAACTGAACATAGCTTAAGAACAGTAAATCGTACAATAATAAATTATAGGTTAAAATAAAGCTTATAACAAGGGGAATATAGATATACATAATCTAGTTACCGAATATTTATACCATGAGAATATATAAATAATAATAGTCAATTAATATGTCTCAGAAGTTACTCGTGATTTAATCCTCGCTCGGATATAACAAAGTCGAATGTATCCTATGGTCGTGTGTCTTAGTACGATGATTCTCGTTTGAGTTTTCGGCTGGAGTATGTGGTTATGAACTATTGTTTTATGTACAGGAGTTAATTGTCAGTGCAGTGCATAGCGTCCGGTATTTGTTTGTTAGTACAGACTGCCTAAAACTAGTTAAGAGTTTATCTACTTGATGTCCGTTAGTGCAACTTTGTTGCAATAATAGTTTTATGTAGTAGGATAATCACTCACTGAGTAGTGGTGAGCTTGGAAGGAGTTTGAAGTAAATACACCCCTACCAACGTCATCGGCCGTATGATACCTTCTTTTCACTTCATTTGGAATTCCTTAGTCACATGACAGCAACTACATAAGTAAGTAGTTCCTGCTTTGACAATAAAAAGTTACAAATCAATTTGATGACATCCGAGTTTGATATTAATTTTAAATTGACATGTAAAGAAGAATTGTAATATATTTGTCCACAATAAGCCCAACGTTGTGTGATACATATGCATGGAAAGCTTTTGTATTTTATGTCAATCAATAATTTATTTTGGCTTGGTCTGTTCATGACTGACAGTCGAAGAAACTTAAATTTCACTACATCATTAGGCAAATAATACTGACTAAGGAATGTAACTACGAACTTTCCTGACATCCATGAATATAAGCATACACGAGTGTGATCTGTTAGAAAAATTTTCTGAGTGTATTTCGTCGTGTGAAAATGTCTGGAGTATGTCATTTCCCCTCTAAAAGTTCGCAATGTTTCAGAACTGGTTCGTATTGATGCCTAATTTGACTACAGTGAGTGAGGTAATCAGATGTCGATAATTCGACCAACTCCGATTAGTCGGCGGCTAATAGGACCCCGACACGAATACAAAATGCCTGCATAGTGTTGTATCCGGAGATTATTTGTAGACTTATTACATAAATGTTACTTTTATCATAAGCCTTCATTCGACTTTTGGCTACTACTCTACGCTATACTATACTTAATTTGTTCCCAATCTATTAGTAACAGCCTCCTACACTCACAGACACTTTTGTCTTGATTTTGTGTGACTAATTTCTTTATTTTATGGTATGATTCTGTCCGATCTGCTGGTATATAATCCACGTATATTTGAAATATATTATTGTTATGTCCAGATAATCATAAAGAATGGTAACTTTTGGGATCCATTTATGGACCAATACTATGCGTAAATTTTTACTATATAATTGTTGAATAAATAAAGCATTCATATTCATGTCCCTCTTATTATGAGCTTTATTTTGACCTATGAACTATTATTATACGATTTACCATTCTTGAATTATGCTCTGTCACATTTCGCCAAATCTTGTTTCCTAGTTTATGGTATACGATGTGATCTGTCTGGTTGGTATATAAACAGAGTATGTTTGAAATAAACCATTCATATTACAGAGGCTGAGATTGGTGTTCTGGACTTAACTGGCCGGGCTATGCAGGAAGCAGGACCGATAAGTACTCTAGATTGATCGCACGGGTTTTTATGCGTCATTGGTCCGGTCGATAATTCACTGCTCTAATTGGCGGTATCGTTACGTTGTACATTAACAGGGCACACATGCTACAAGTTATAACAACTATCCCCACAGTGGAGGCGGATATTGCGTTCTGAACTAGGCTAGGCTAGAAGATACTATATCGAGGACCAATAAGGATTCAGAGTTGACACAGGGTTGTTGTTACTGCTTGACATGTCATTGGCTTATCACATGTCATAGGAGTCGATGTTCTGGTTCGCGACTTCGTCACGTGGTATTTGACAGGGGTATAAGTCATAACACCTAGTTCCTGCCAGCTCCTGTACCACGGGTTTCGAATATCCAGTGTTTGTCAACTAGAGAGTGAGTATACTGACAACAGTTCGATAATGTAATAAGAAGACGAAGATTATCAGAACTATGTGATATATTAGCACAATACATTTCGAACAATCTGATCACGCATATACTTGTTAAGAGCATTTACATATAAAAATGAAAGGTCAACTAGACTAGAAACGGGGTAAGAGGAAGTAAGGATAATGATAAGAGTAACAATAATAATGTGAACACAAGGAGTGAACTTTTTATATATCAGCGGTAAATCAACTCGAATTAAAATTCAGACGACAAAAGAATGAGTACAAAATGAATCAACAATATGTAATAAAGCAGTTTTAATTGAACTACATTGCACTAGGTTTCTCATCAAACATAATCTGATGCAAGCTCGACCATTTGTATGTAGCTTGTAGACTCACTTTAACGCGGCAATTAAGCACGTGCTAACATTCTTGCCTCTTAGTTACACATGTGATGAAATAAGACAATCTGGTTACTCTACGTAGAGTACGATCAATAGGATCCAAGGTAGATCTTGACATTTCTTGCTCGTGCATCAGAACGAAAGAACTTTGGAGCTATGCGTAATTCTTGGCACTTCGACTTTATAGTTGACATGTCAAACACTTCATCAGAACCGTCTCCGGTAGTCAGATCTTTTTCAGATTTGTATAGTAAGGACAGAAGGTCTACAGCCTGTTATTCACTTTCTAGTATGCTTCTGTGAGTGCCCAGTCTTTTCTTGAATGAGTCAATTGAAGGTACGGACACCACTGCTTCGGGTAATAGGCTCCAAGAATTGACGACTCGGTGTGAAAACCTGTATGCCACTGGTATTTTGTTCGTTCTTGGCTTTTCTACTCGCTGTCAATGTCCTCTAGTGAGAAGGAAAAGAGAGGACATATTAGATCGAAAATCACTTCTTAGTATTATATACATCACAATCAGATTACCTCTTAATCTTCTATAGGACAGAGTAAAGAGGTTTAGCTTTACAAGCTGATCTCTGTATGGTACACCCCGGAGTTCTGGAATTGCATGGGTAGCTGCCCTCTGAACTTTTTCCAGGATATCCGAGTCACCTTTTAAACAGGAGCTTGAAGCTTAAACGCAGCTCTCAAGCGGATATCCCCCTTTTCACTGCATAATATATTATGCAGTGAATTACTGAAAGTTGTAAATAAAAATACTATCAGAATCATCCAAATTATTTGGATCCGATTTGAAGAGTTCAGTATTACTTTCGTCCAAATGAACAGTAGTTTTACAAACCGAGTGGATGTACATCCACTGGACACTTATCCAACTTTACCAAATTTGAAGCACTTAGCATGGAGAAAGAAACATGACTTGAGTAAGTGAAATTTATTATAGGATAAACGTTTGCTAAATCTGTGCTAACTTGAGTAACCTGTTTTGAAATTCTTCGCCAAATCATTCCTCATGATTCCATGAGAATCAGAGCTGCATTTGACCAGCGCGGGCTTGAGCAACCTTGGGAATGTAGATCACGAGGATTAAGAAATGTATTATAAATTTTCCCTGAACTAAAATCAAACTCAATGACTGCTGATGCGTTTTGTTACCGTTTCACCTGGACTATCTTACTGGTCAGTTACAGCAAACCTGACTACTTACACACACCGACTGTATCAACTGAGACGGCGTGTAATGCAATTATAGGCTTTATCACAAGGTTAGTCGATGTGCATAATGGTTGAAATGGTTGTGGACGGAATAGAAGAAGCTTTCGTTTAACAGGCTTCCGTGTCTAGTAGCAGGGGATCACCGGTACCTCCAGGCAGAAAACTAGGTATATTAACAATAATAGAAGAAAAAAGAAATTGGTAAATCATGGTAAGATATTATCCTTAGTCCTTAAGAGAAGTTAAATTTTCCTGTAAAAGGACTCCTGGGAAGCAGCTTGGACTAGCTCGGCCGGCAGCGGATTCCAGCATTTGACAACTATTAGGGAGTGGAACTTGTGCCTACAGTCCGTTCTGCTATGTCGTGTCTCCAGTTTTCGGGTGTTACCTCTTAGGTTAGTGTTGGGACTAAGCTTAAGTAGGTGTTTGAGAGGATGTTCAGAAGTGTTAAGGATACTGTAAGCCATCAGAAAGTCACTCCTAAGACGTCTATACTCTAATGGATAAAGATTAAGTGATTGGAGGCGCTCTTCATAAGGCTTGAATTTTAGTTCCCGAACTGGCTCGCCGTTGGATACGCTCCGCAGTGTCTTTATCCTTTCAGAGTGAGGGAAAAATACTTTGTTTCCGTACTCTAAATGAGGACGAATAAAACTGTTGAAGATTATGTGGAAAGTTCTTCCGTCAAACTGGCCGAAAATGCGCTTCAATGTTACCAGTGCAAGGTTTGCTCAAAAGGCATTTTCGTCACAGCGTTAGACTCCAAATATTAGGGTACCAGCACTCCTAAATCTTTTTCAACTTGGGATACTACCAGAGAGGAGTTTCTTAAGTTATGACTGTAGTCTGCGACATGTCTCAGATGGACTACTTTACACTTTGAAGTGTTGAAGGTAAGTCCGTTATCGTCTGTCCAACTTTGAAGTCGAGTCAGATCCTCCTGAAGTGCCAGTATATCCTCTCGGTTGCGTATCTCTCCCCAAAATTTCACGTCGTCGGCAAAAAGTAATAAGTCAGACGATACTTGTTGTGGAAGATCATTTATATAAATCAAGAAGAGAAGAGGTCCTGTTACTGTGCCCTGGGGGACCTCACTAGGTCATTCCATAGTCTAAGAGATAGCGAAACTAAGCCTGACCTTAAAATGTTGATTTTTCGATATGAAGTGAGTCAGTCAATTAGAGGCGATCCGACACCCAGTCGCTCGAGCTTATTGATAAGACATGTATTGTTAACCTTATCAAAAGCTTTTGAGAAATCTAGGTAGATGATATCAACCTTTCCCTTGTGATCAGGGATGGTTGTCCATCTGTCCACCTCTGTCAGTAAGTTTGTTATACAAGAATGATCTTTCCTGAAACCATGCTGTTGGGGTGAGAAGAAATTTAAGGACAGTAAATAGTCATTTATACCATCGCATATCAGGGACTACATGATTTTCGAAGGTATTGAGAGAAGAGCCAGCGGTCAGTAACTTGAAGGTTCGCTGCGTCGACCTCGTTTGAAAATTGGTGTGATGTGAGCCAGCTTCCAATTTTCCGGTAGTTTTCCTCGACTTAGCGAGTGTGAGAACATCACGCTAAGCGGCGTTGCCAGGATTGAGGCTGCTTCCCTCAGTATGGCGGAATGGGCCATGTCCGGGTCAGGAGTAGTGTCCAGTCTAAAGTGCTGCAGTTTCCGGAACACCAAGTCAGTGCTTAGGTTCACTTCGGAAAGTCCTGTGGGATTGCAGATGAAACTGTCATCAGTAAAGTTAATGTCGTTTATTTGAAATGTCTTGGAGTAATGTTCAACCAGAAGGTTAGAGGGGTCGCCATCGTTGTTGGTCGGGCCGTTAAGACCTACCAGTTGGGAATCTCCAGTTTCGGCTTGACGAACAGAGGCTGAATAACGGAATAACCTTTTAGGATTAGAGGCGAATTTGTCCATAAGCTTTGTCTGGTACTGAAGCCTATCTTCTCTTATAGCCTTCATGCATATGTTTCTGGTATGTTTATATTGCCTGTACGCTCCGTCGTCGTCAGTTCATTTGTATTCCGTCCAGCAGTGCATTTTGCGGTTTAGCAGGCGAAGGCTACGGTTCTTGATTATTGTAGGTATCTTGCAGCTTTTGGGAACGGAGGAATACTTGAAAAGTCACACAATATCCTAGGCTTCTCGAAGTTTCCGAAATTATGCTAAATATGGTTCCGGTAAATGTGAATATCCAATCACATCCGTGGCAAATGCTTCTAATGTTCCTAAATGTCTCTATGAAGCTCCTGTTCCATGTTGATCATATTCATTTTCCTAGGGTTTATATCCTTCTAGAGACTTCAGAAAGAGGTGTTTCGGGACTCTCTCGACACTGAATAGTAGTATTTTTAGGTTTTGGTATCCTAAGTATATGAACTTTGATGATTTTAGGTTGCTTGTAACTTTTAGGGAACGTTTGTGATACCGACTGACTTACTACATGTAAGGTCATCCGTGGTAAGAAATCCCAGTAAACGTACAAGGACGCTGAAGTTATGTTTCCAAATTCACTTACGACAGATTGTCATTTAAAGCCGACATACCTAAATGTCTGAAACTTCAATTATTATCCCCTTCCAATTGTTTTAGTTAGGTTTTACAGATACAGTTGAAGCCTAAGATGTCGTGTTCATGATTTACCTTGAAGCCAGGTTTAAGAAATAGTCAATTAGCAGCATTTTGTTAATGAAGACCCAGTATGACTGTGATGGCGTACAAATTTTTTTCTACCGAGCTCGTGATTCCAAATTTTTGAGGGTTGAAGCTTAGAATTTGGCAACGAGAAATAGATGTGCATGGGAGGCTCACCACTTTTTTGTCAGTTTCCTTTTCTTCAATTCTGTTACGTTTTCCCCCAGTCAACAGAACTGTGATAATTCTAGATGTCTGCATAAAAAACGCAATCAAATATATTAGTTTC